TCTTAGAGACCCCCAGAGGTCTCTAAGACCCCATTTTGAGAATTGCTATTATCGAGGACAAGGATTTTTGTTCTTTGTTCATTGATACATCTCTTATACGAAGGCCTGTAATCATCCTGGGACTTTTCACCTATCTCTAGTGTTAGATTTTTCTGAATCTGGATCATCTTTGTTGGTTTACTCTCTACTTTTGGTGGAGCACATCATCTAGTAGCTTCCTAAGAAAGGGTGCGTGCAAGGTATAATTTTGCGACTGCATGTTTGAAAGTGTCTTTATTCTGATCTGTTATCACATCAGTGATTGGGCTGGATATAGAGAGGTTGACAATTATTTTCACTTAGATTTGTGAAGGCAAGTCTTTTTTGTTTTCTGTGTTGCTGTTGAGAAGGGCTTTGTGATTCCCGCCATTTTTTTCTCTTTAGAAGTTTCTAGGATCTTCTATATATGGCAGGTATCTGAATTTTCTGAGATATGTCTCATGTATGTCTTTTATTACTTCATTGTCTTGGGGATTTAAAGCAATGTCTTTCAATTCTGGAAATTCTTTTGAATTATTCTCTGGATATTTTTAACTCTTTTCTCCCTTTTTTTTAATGGAATGCATATTCATTGGATATTGGACTTTCTGGATTGACCTTCTTTTATTTCCTTTTTTTAAAAAAAATATTTTTAAGTAATTTCTACGTCCAGTGTGGGACTCAAACTTACAACCCTGAGATTGAGTCGAATGCCCTGAGGACTGAGCCAGCCAGGCACCCACCTCCTATTTTTTCCTTTTCCTACTTTCTGCAAGTCCTTTGACCTTATCTTCTAACCCTATTGATTTGTTTTTGTTGCTTTATATTTAGACAGAGAGTGAGAGCATGTGTGCACATGAGCAGGGGAGAGGGGCAGAGGTGGGAAGAGAGAGAATCTTAAGTAGGCTCCAGCTCTATGCTGGGATCCATCCCATGACCCCGAGATTATGACCTGAGCAGAAATCAAGTCAGATGCTCAACGAACTGAGCTCCTAACGCTATTGTATTTTTTATTACTTATTGTCATTTGTTTGAATTTCAAGCTTTCCTGTTCTTTGGATGTTCCTCCTATTCTTGTTTGCGGGATCATCTTCTCATAGGTTTCTGAGGATATTAACTGATTTTTTTTCTGCATGTTCCCTGTTTAATAAAAGTTGTTTTTTTTCTGTATTGGCTTCTGTCTCTTGTGATGAAGGCTTTCTTTTGTTATATGATCGCTAAAAGATTAACCAAAAAAAAGGTTACATAGAAAAGTGTACCGTGTTTAAGGTTTGGACTTGTTAACTGGTGGGCTTGGTTAAAGTGTGATTGGTTAAAGGGCCTGGCCTTTTTTTCAGGGGACCTTCTAATATTTACTAATATTTATTTACCTTTTTTTTGGGCTACTGATCAGTTTTTGTGAAGAATATTCTGCCAGAATTCTTGGATCCAAGTACATTGAGTGCTGCAGTATTTACCATTAGATTATAGACCTTCATTTTACTTTAACTTTTATTTATTTTTTTTAATTTAAAAATTTTTAATATCTTTATTTTGAGAGACAGAGACAGAGAGTGAGTAGGGGAGGGACAGAGAGAGAGGGAGACAGAGAATTCAAAACAGGCTCCAGGCTCTGAGCTGTCAGCACAGAGCCTGACATGGGGCTCAAACCCACAGACTGTGAGATCACGAACTGAGCCGAAGTTGGACTCTCAACCGACTTAGCCACCCACGTGCCTCAACTTTTAGTTTAGCATCTTTCTACCTCTTTTACCCTGGACCTGGTGCTTTATTGTTTCATCATTTTCCCCAAATAAGCCATCTTTCCAGCTGGGACTGGGGAGGAGTAGTCACTTGTCTGGTTTGGATTGGGGGGGGTGGATCTGGGAGATTACTTCTTTTACAGATTTTCAACTAATTCTCTGTATTTTAGTCTCATGACCCATTCTGCCTGCTCTGGTATCTGATGTCTCAAATTCCTGAGCCTTTCTGATTTTGCTATGTGAATTGGCCTTTCTCTTGTTGGAATTCTCTGCAGTTGCTTGATATTCAACTTTCTTAGCTCTAAATCCTCCATCTGGTTTTCATTTGCTAAAAATTTATTGACATATCTTGTCTACTGTTCCTGTTGTTTTCTCTTCTAGTCTCTTTATCCCTGTGAATTTGTACTTTTTTATCCTTTCACTCTCATCTTAGTATTTTTTTAAAATGAGATAATAAGATTATCATAAAAAGTTATCTTAATTTAAATGGTTATTTCTGGGCAAAAAAAATTCATAACTGTCTAAAGATGAAAACAAGAATGGAAAGAAAAAGCCAGGAAATAGAAAGACTTAGGTGATTGTTATTCAATTATGTAACATTCTTTAATGAAAATACACATACACACACAGATGTGGTTACATGTTATATACAATGGATACATATGTGGATATTCAGGTGTGTATATGTGTACATTTATATTGTTTATATAATTTCATAATTATAGTATTTAAAAACATTTTTTAATGTCTATTTTTGAGAGAGAGAGAGAAAAAGAAAGAGCAAGCATGAGCAGGGGAGGGGCAGACAGAGAGGGAGACACAGAACCGGAAGTAGGCTCCAGGCTCTGGGCTGTCGGCACAGAGCCAGACACGGGGCTGGAACTCACATACTGTGAAATCATGACCTGAGCCGAAGTCAGAGGCTTAACTGACTAAGCCACCCAGGCGCCCCAATATAGTATTTTGAAGCTGGAAAGGGTCATGGTGATCTTTAACCAGTGCAGTTTCACTTTTCAGTGCGGAAACTGGCTTTGATTTACAAGTGATACACTGAAAGTGTCAAAACCAAGTCTTCCCAATATTTTAACTGTAAAATGTTAGGACTATGAACAACTTGGAGGTTCAGAACTATATTTAAAGTCTAATTCTGGCTCTAGGTAAATAGCTTGATGTTTTGAATTTTGTCCTAACAGTGATTTTCAAGTGGTATTGAGATTTTTTTATTTTCAAGTGGTATTGCGTTAGAGTCAGGAAGGGGATGGCTCACCTTACCATTCTGAAAACAAAGCTGTAATTTAACACATTGCTTTGTTTATAGTAATGATATTAACTTATTTTGAATAAATATTAAAGAGAATTATGAAATATTTATCTGATCCGTTAACTGTTAATCTTAACCATTACATAGGATAGATCTTGCTTTTATGTGACACTGAAAGATAGTTAATAACTGTTTTAGTAAAATAAATGAGATTGTGCTCCTCAAATCATTGTTGCACTGTATACTAAGTAATCTGGGTGTAAATGAAAAATAATAAAATAATTTAAAAACAAATGAGATTGCATATGATACTAAAGGCTAGCTTTAAGATAAACGTCTTATCAACTAAGTTAATTCTTAAGTATGAAAACCTTAAGTTCCATTTCTGTATGTTTTTTTGTTTTGTACACTAAATATACAAACATTAGTATAGCCATATGGAAAATAGTGTAAAATAAAAAGTGCAGTTTCTGCACTTAAATATTATCAATTATTTTCACTTTCGTTCTTACTCATATGTACACATTTTCTTAAATTGTAGTCTCTGTAGATATGGTTTTAATAATGTTATAATGAATATCTTTATGAATGTATCTTCCTTTTAAGAAAAACTTTGCAGATACATTCTTAGAAGTAGGATTGCTTTGGGGAGCCTGGGTGGCTCAGTCGGTTAAGTGTCCAACTTTGGCTCAGGTCATGATCTCACCGTTCGTGGGTTTGAGCCCCGCGTCGGGCTGTGTGCTGACAGCTAGCTCAGAGCCTGGAGCCTGCTTTGGATGCTGTGTCTCCCTCTTTCTCTGACCCTCCCTGCTCATGCTGTCTCTCTCTCAGAAATTAATAAAACATTAAAAAAATTTAAAAATAAAAAGTAGGAATGCTTAGACAAAAAAATCAACATTTTGGGGCGCCTGGGTGGCTTACTCGGTTAAGCGTCCGACTTTCGCTTAGGTCATGATCTCACAGTTCGTGGGTTCGAGCCCCGGGTCGGGCTCTGCGCTGACTGCCAGCTCGGAGCCTGGAGCTTGTTTCAGTCTGTGACTCTGTCTCTCTCTGACCCTCCCCTGCTCACGCTGTCTCTCTCTCTCTCCTAGAAATAAATAAAACATTAAAAAAAATCAACATTTTGATGACTATTTTTAAAAAATTGCTTAATTGCTTTCTAGAAGGATAATAACATCACTTTATATAGGAATTAGCAGTGTGCAGAGTTGACTGACATAATGATAACCTTATCATTGCTAATACTTTGCACTGTTTCAGTTTGTACTTTGTTGATAATGATGTTTTATACATTTAAAAATTTAGTATTTTTAGTTAGAAAAATGTAACTATAAAAGGTAGGAAAATATTTTTTATCTTTAGGGAATGTGCAAACGAAGAATTAGTGGTTGATCCCTAAATCAGATATCGTATAATTAATGATAAGTGCAACTTAAAATATAAGAAAATTTATAATAATTCATATTCATTATAATATGTTCTGTTCTCAGGATTGATTCTTTTGAGAGACATTTGAAAAAATTATGGACAAATTTAAATTGTTCATAAATTGTAAAAATGATAATTTTTGAAGACTCTACTAGAGCTATTTCTTTTTTTTTTTTTTTAAATATTTTTATTTCTTTCTAGGAGAGAGAGAGAGAGACAGTGTGAGCAGGGGAGGGTCAGAGAGAGAGGGAGACACAGACTCAGAAATAGGCTCCAGGCTCTGAGCTGGCAGTCAGCACAGAGCCCGACGCGGGGCTTGAACCCACGAACCATGAGATCATGACCTAAGTGAAAGTTGGACGCTTAACTGACTAAGCCATCCAGGAGCCCCTCTAGAGCTATTTCTTATGTCTTGTGAAAATGTCAGGTACATTTAAAATTTTACTTTAAATAAGACTTTTTAAATTTTTACAAAGTTCTACAAAAATTATTAAGTTTCATCCATTGTGCCATTATGGTAGAAAAAATTTTCTTTGAATTTAAATTTACAGAAATGGGACGCCGGTCATCAGATACTGAAGAAGAAAGCAGAAGCAAGAGAAAAAAGAAACACCGTAGACGGTCATCTTCAAGTAGTTCTTCAGATAGTAGAACATACAGCCGAAAGAAAGGTGGAAGGAAATCAAGGTCAAAGTCAAGATCTTGGTCCAGAGATCTTCAGCCTCGCTCTCATTCATATGACAGAAGGTAAGTTTTATAATTTTTACTAGTGTAGTAAATGAGAGTAACTGTCTTTAGAATTCATGTTTTTGTACTTTCAATTTTTTGGGGTAAAACATTTTTCTTTTAGAACTTATATATTTATGAGGGTTAAGTCCCAACCCAAAGGTTTTTTTTTTTTTTTTTATTTGAGTATGTTACCTAGTTTCAGGTGTACTGTTCAGTGATTTGACAAGTCTTTGCACTATGCTGTGTTTACCACAAGTATTGCTACCATCTGTCCTATTACATTGCTATTATAATATCCTTGACTATATTCTTTATGCTCTGCTTTTTATTCCTGTGCCTTACTCATTTTATGACTGGAGGCCTGTATCTCCCTTTCCCCTTCACCCATTCGGCCTAACTCCTCACTCTCTCAAAGATTTTCCTTTTTGCCAGGCCCAATCCATGGGTCTAGTGTCTATCCTTTGTCTGTTCTTTTTAGACATGTAGATATAAACTGGTATAGTTCTCATAAAATATTGTCTGATAATATTTGCAAGGATTGTATATTACTGAGCACCCCTAATGTCTTAATTAGTAGCCAGAGCCATCACTAAACTATGCATCAGTCATCTGACTGTTAAAGAGGAATAACATTTTATCTCTATTTGCTTCTGGGAAGGAGTGAAAAGTAATAAAAATGAGACGATTCTTTAGAATCTAGAAGATTTCTCTCTAATTCCTGTAAAAATTATATTATAACAATGACATTTGTTTATACTTTATTTCAGACGCAGGCATCGATCGAGCAGTAGCTCTTCTTATGGCTCTCGAAGAAAACGTAGTCGAAGTCGTTCAAGGGGTCGAGGGAAATCCTATAGAGTTCAGAGATCTAGGTCAAAAAGCAGAACAAGAAGGTATGCCGTATTAGATATTTATTGTCTTATAACAGACTATCTCCAAATTTAGTGACCTAAGCAACAATCATTTATGTTCTCATGATTCTGTGATTTTGACTGAGCTCAGCTGACAGTTCTTCTGCCATTTTCATCTGGGGTCACACTCATTCTCACTGGCTTCTCATCCTCTAGTAGGCAGGACAGGGCTTTTTCACACGATGTAGGACATTGCTCAAGAATGTAAGAGAGGAAGGTGTAAAATTTTTCAAGACCTTGCCTCAGTATGTTATAGAATGTTTGTGTCTCCTGTAAATTTGCATATTGAAGCCCTAACCCTCAATGTAGCATATTTGAAGAAACGGTCTTTATGGAGGTAATTAAGGTTAAGTGAGGTCACAGGGTAGAGTTTTAATCCTGTAGGGATCCATGTATCTTCACATGTTCTTATAAGAAGTGCATACCCTTTCTTTGAATATGCGCTCAGGGGAAAGGCCATGTGAAGATACAGTGAAAAGATGGCTATTTATAAGCCAGGAAGACAGCCTTTACCAGGAACCAAATTAGCTGGCATCTTCATTTTGGACTTATAAGAGCCTCCAGAACTGTGTGAAATAAATTTCTGTTGTTTGACTGCACATTAGTTTGTTATAGCAGTTGGAACAGATTAATACACAGCTAGACTAATACAGTAACACAGAGACTAATACTCTACCTGTGTTTTCTGGCTGTGCTCAAGGGCCTGTAGAGAATAGCCTGTCTGGAGTCCGTTGTACATTTGGGCAATGATAGAAAATCTGTTTGAATAGGATGGAGACTATGGTATTGATGGAATTGATAAAAATAGGCATTCAGAAATTATTGAAGGTTTTTGAGCAGAAGAATGTTAGGATAAAAACAGCATTTTAGGCAGATCAGTTTCTTTTCTCTGCTTAGTTCTTCATACTGCTGTTAGGCTCTAGTTGTAGGGGCATATTAAGAGCCTGGTTTTGTTCTCTAGGCATAAAATTTTATAAGTTGCTGTATGAATCTGAAGTTGGTTAATAGCAGTAAAGGTCAAATGTTTAGCTTTCTGGCCTTGTGTTATGTGGCCTCAGCCTCCTCTCCTTTGTTACACTCTATGGCTAAGCCACTGTGTTACATGCCTGTTTTTCCATACATGTCCCTGAGTTGCTAGCTTTGTTTCTTTGAGTATGCTCTTCCCTCCTTCTTGCATGTCTGTATTTTGAGAACTCTTCCTATCCTTTAAAGTTTAGTTCTATCTAACCTTTAATTATTTCTCAGTCCGTCTTTGATTTTTAACCTTTTCACTGTCAAGTCAAATTTAATCCCTCCTTTCCTGACCCACCATCACCTGTGGTTCCTGATTTGTAACAGTTCTATTTTGAATATTATGTTTTTGTCTTTCTCACAGATTGTAAACTCTTGCAGGGGGACCCTCTTATTACCTAGCAAAATACCTTGCTTAGTAAACATGCCTTGATTTGAGTGAATGATTAGTTGGGGAAATGAAGTTAGGTAGAGAGCTGTGTTTTATAGCAAGAAAAAGCTTTACTATTTTATTGATTTGGAGAAGGAAGGATTGTTTTTTTATTTTTTTTGGATGTATTGATTTGTCTAAAAAGAGGCTGATTACCAGAAAACAACTTCAGTTGAAATTTCCCATCATTGGGAACAAAAATAAAAATTCATGCTTTTTATTCTTCTTTAGTTTATATTTTCACATGCATCAGTCATTTAGAGTTTGATTTCAAGCATCAAGGTTTTAACATAGGAAACTTTGGAACCTTTGGAAGGACTCAGGGAATTAGGAAAGCTGTCACTAATTATTTTAGCTTGAAGCATGGTAGCTGGTTGTTTGCTCAGAAGTCACTGGAAATTTTAAGTACTCTCTCATTTGGTACACCGAAGTGGGGGACTCAAGACACCACTCACCTGGAAGCTGTTTTTCTGCCCAATTATCCACCTACAGCTATCTCCAGAGGGGGATCTGGAAATGTTAATTTCCTTTGCAATACAAGGAAAACCTTAAAAAGAATAGCAGTGATGTCTAGTCAACCATAAACTGTCTAGCACATATGCATTTAGTAATTTGAGTTTTGTAACTCTGTCAGGGTATAATGCTTCGTAATACCTCTATTTTGTATACTTTGTATAACTTTGTATAAACAAGTTCAGAGATTTATTCAGAACAACGTTTCAGCTTCTTGCATCAACACTTTGGCATTTAACTGTAAGAACTAATCTGGAGTTATTGAAAAGTCTTAAATTTTGAGAAAATATGTTACCTATATCCTATACACATATTATTTTGGAAAATATACTTTAGGAATTTATTCTTCAAAATTTTTTAACTAAATGAGTTTAATCTTGGTTTAACAAAAAAATTGGACAACTCATTCCTTGAACAGCTTGGTTAGTCAAGGCTGTATTTTAAACAGAGAAGATGAAATTAGTTTTTCAAAGAAAAAAAATAATGATTCTAAATCTAAAGGTGTGTTGTAATGATCTCTGTGCTTTTTAATAGAAATGAGTGATTTCAGTCATGGTCAGTCAAATACTTTCAGAAAGCTTGTTACATATGTAAAAAGTAATTGAGATGGAGCATTTGGGAGATGGCAGGAGGGAAGTAAATATGTGAAGTTAGCTGCAGTTTCCACAGATAAGTTATACAGTAGGCAATTATGCTTTTCAATATGATTTTTAAATATTTATTTTTGAGAGTGAGCACGTGAGAGTAGAGGGGTGGGCAGAGGATTTGAAGCAAGCTCTGCACTGACAGCAGCAAACCTGATACAGGGCCCGAACTCACAAACTGTGAGATCATGACCTGAGCCGAAGTCAGACGCTTAACCAACTGAGCCACCCAGGTGCCCCAGCTTTTTGATATAATTTTTATGTTCTCAAAATATTCAAGTTGTGACATATTTCACTTCCTTTTGTGACAGTGAGCAATCTGCTCCTGTTATTCACAGTATGGTTACTTACTTCCTCATTCCCGAGTACACAGAAAGTACTTTTAGAATTGTTGATATATACCACTGTAAAAAAAAAAACAAAAGATGCATAATATCTTTTGAATTTATTCAAACTTGTTTTGTGACCTAAAATGGGTTCTGTTCTGGAGAATGTTCCATGTGTACTTGAAAAGAATGTGTATTCTATTAGCTTTGGATGGAGTGTTCTGAATATATGTTAGGCCCATCTGGTCTGATGTGTCATTGATAGCTACTAGTTTCTTGTTAATTTTCTGTGTGGAAGATCTATCCATTGATGTAAGTAGGTATTAAAGTCCCCAACAGTTATCATATTACTGTCAGTTTCTTCCCTTATATGTTAATAGTTGCTTTATATATTTAGGTACTTCCATGTTGTGTCCAGAAATATTTACAATTGTTAGGTCCCCTTGGATTGTTCCCTTTATCATTGTGTAGTGTCCTTCCTTGTCTGTTGCTACATTATTTTGTTTTGTTTTGTTTTTTAAAGATAAAGCTTTTTTTTTTTCTTTAATTATTATTTCTAGGAGAGAGAGAGAGACAGCGTGAGCAGGGGAGGGTCAGAGAGAGAGGGAGTCACAGACTGAAACAGGCTCCAGGCTCTGAGTGGCAGTCAGCACAGAGCCCGACGCGGGGCCTGAACCCACGAACCGCGAGATCATGACCTAAGTGGAAGGCGGACGCTTAACCCACTAAGCCACCCAGGCGCCCCATTTTGTTTTAAAGTTTAATTTGTTTGAAATTAGTACTGTTACTCCAGCTTTCTTTTTGCTTCCATTTGCATGGTAAATGTTTTTGTATCCCTCATCTTCAATCTGCATGTGTCTTTAGTTCTGAGTAGGCAGCATGTTGATTGGTCTTACTTTTTTTATCTATTCTGTTACCCTTTGTCTTTTAATTGGAGTATTTAGTACATTTACATTTAAAGTAATTACTGATATGTACGTACTTATTGACATTTTGTTACTTGTTTTATGGTTGTTTCTGTAGTTCCTCTCTGTTCCTTTCTCCTCTTGTTCTTTTATTTTAGTAGTTTGATGGCTTTCTTTAGCATTATGCCTGGACTCCTTTCTCTGTATTTTTTGTGTATCTACTATAGGTGTTTGATTTGTGGTCATAATGAGGTTCATATATGTGTATATGAGTCTGGCTTAAGTTGATGGTGAACCCATTCTAAAACCATTTTTATTCCCGTGTTTTATGTATATGATGTCATATTGTACCTCTTTTTTATCTTGTCAGTCTCTTAACTGATTTTTACAGATGTAATTATATTGCTTTTGTGCTCTAATCTCCATACTGATTTTATAAGTGATTAATCTACTACTGTTATTGTATGTTTGTATTTACTGGTAAAATTTTTTCTTTTCCTCATTTTTCCAATCCTGATGATGGCTTTTTCTTTACACTCAAGAATTCCCTTTACAGGGCACCTGGGTGACTCAATCTGTTAAGCATCTGACTTTGGCTCAGGTCATAATCTCACGATTTGGTTCCAGAGTTCAGGCTCTGTGTAGGCTCTGTGCTGACAGCTCAGAAGCTGGAGCCTCTCTCCTTCTCTCTCTGCCCCTCCCCTGCTTGTGCTCTGTCTCTCTCAAGAATAAATAAACATTAAACAACAACAACAACAACAACAACAAAGAATTCCCTTTAATGTTTCTTGTAAGGCTGGCTTAGTGGTAATGAACTTGGACATTTGTTTGTTGGGAAATTCATTCTGTCTCCTTTTATTCTGAATGATAGTCTTATCAGGTAGATTATTCTTGGTTTCAGGCTTTTTTCTTTCAGCACTTTAAATATATCACGCCATTCCTTTCTGGCCTGCAAGGTTCCTGCTGAAAAATCAGCTTATAGCTTTATGGGGGTTTTCTTGTATGTAACTTTTTTTTTTCCCTTTTGCTTCTTTTACAGTTCTCCTTTTATCACCACTTTGTGCCATTTTATGTGTCTTGGTGTAGACCTCCTTGTATTAAATTTGTTGGGGGCTCTCTGTGTTTCCTTCATCTTAAGGTCCATTCCCTTTCC